TTATAGTTCCTGGGCTCCCTGTGGTGTTTATATGATAATATGGTAATGCCAGTTTGTTTATATGGCAGTGAAGTTTGGGGAGCCTATAACATTAAAGCAAACTGGGTCAAAATGGTATCTTAAAGTCATTATTCAACGACAGCCTAGATTATGAGAAAATGCATTTGAAATTCGGCAAAAATTCTCTGGGGGTTAATAAAAAAGTACAAATATAGCTGTACAAGGTGAGTTGGGTAGATACCCCATACAGTTAAATATTATATGCAATGTCTTTTCATATTAGACTAGATTTCAAAATGATAAAACCCCTGCCTTAACAAAACTTGCACTACAAAATGAAGCTGAACTCCATTAGATGGGGCAAAAAACGTTTATTAGAGAATGGTCGAAAATACTCTGGGAAGCTAAAGATAATAAGCCAAAAAATTAAAAAAGGAAATCAAAACAAAATTACAAGTTATTTATATTAAAGCGGGGGAGTAGTCACCTGCGCATGCGTCAGATGGCCATAGCGTGTTGTTTACAAACAAGTGTCTGCCCATGAGCCTTTGCGTTTTTAGCCTAGGTTGTTATCGTCGCTTGGGACTCAATTCCCGCGCGTGTGCACAGGTGACGACCCTCCCGTTTTAAAGAATGGAAGACACAGTTAAATAAAGACAATAATCAAAATATTAGTAATAAACTGAAAACCTATAAACAGGTTAAAAAGAATTACAAATATGAAAACTATCTTAAATTTATTGTAAACTATAAAATTCGATCAGCAATAACAAAATTAAGGATATCAAGTCACAGCTTACCAATAGAACAAGGGCGCTACAAAAACATTCCACAAACTGAACGAATATGCAAATTGTGTAATGCATCAGAAATTAGTGACGAAAAGAATTACATAGTGCATTGCACTAATGCTAATATTGTCTCATATAGAGTACATTTATTTGACAAAATTAGCTTTTCAGAGTTTCATATATTTATTAAGTGCTTTAGACACATATTCTATTATACCTTTAGCCAAGTATTCGGGAAGGGCATATCGCTGCGTTTCGAGCGATCATACCACTTTGTGTGTTAATAGTTTAGTATGGGTAGTCTGAGATTAAACATTGTCAGCGGGAATTTATTTTAGCTCGACAGTTCAAAATAAGCAGTGTACAACTTATTGTGTTGTTTTATTTTGATGCATTCAAAAATACGAACGATGTCACTTTCCAAAACTGCATTTTTTTGTCCTTGGCTTACTTCATAATGATAACGTACAAAAGAATCGGTATTTTAATACACGCAGACTTGATCAAAACGGCTTCTGCGCGCCCTCATAACGTACACGCAACATCAGTGTAGACTGGCAAAGTCGGGACTTTGTTTTTGTTATACATAAAAATCTATTGTCAATTTAGTCTTTTTAACGCGATCGCGAAATTTCTTTAGCGGTCAGGTTAGTTTTCGCGATCACGGACTAAAACAACAATTATTTCTTTCTTTTTGTAAAACAAAGAAGAAGTCCCGACTTTGCCAGTATAACATCAGTGTTATGGCTTCTGCGTGCCCGCACAACTCACCCTCAGATACGCGTTTGATGCAAATAAATGGACAGGACACCGCCCTTCAACGACATTGACCTTTGGGTTCCGTCTCGTCTACGTGATATACCGGGGTTTTATATAACATTACTTTACATACGGAACAGACTACAGTGCTAGCCAACTTCGAAACATCGGTATACTAAACGTTTTAGTAAAATCATAGTCACTCTATACATAGAAAGTTTTAAGTTCAAGTTTCACTGGGGAGGATTGATCGAGGGCGCTATTTAAGTACTTGTGAACCGTACTTGTCTCACTATGCCTTACAGGAAAATTACTAGAAATAAATGCTGAAATGTAAACATAATATACATCTGAGAATTCCTTACGCCATATTGACTCACTAGAACGATATTCAACGTTGTTGATTTGGTGTTTTACAGTAATATCAGAAACGAGGGCGATCTTACATTTGTAATTGACGGACAGGATCCCCTCCCCGTTGTTGGCTTGCATGTGCTTCTATTGGAGATGCTCTTCTAATAGAGCAAATACGGTAACTGTTTTATTTGGAATAAACAGTGATGACAGAAATGGTACTTTGGTATAAATATGGGACTAGATTTTGCCACTATCCAGGTATACAAATGGTCACACTTTTAAGCACTCAAGGGCACCTCCCTACCCAGCTATGTATCAACTCCCCCCTCCCCATCCCGGGACAGAATTCACACAAATCAAGTAAATTAAGAATACTGGGTCAAAAATACTATCATGTTTCGACCAATTACTGCTTTAAAAATTTCAACATTCTCTAGGCTATTTTGGGACGCAAAGAAAAAAATACAAATTATTGATACCCCAGAAATTTACAAAAAAAATACATTCGTCGAACATTGACGCAACTTCAATTAAACTTTCAAAAACGTGCTTGGACACAATTACAATTTTGAAACCTACTGTAGCTCTGTACGAGACGCGTTGTACATTCGTTTTAAACCATTGTCAATGGTTTAAAACGAATGTACAACTCGTCAATTTGACATTCATGTTGTCAAACCTGGTGAATTAACATTCATATACAGTGAATAACATCTGGAAAATGCACAAAGTACCTCCTCTCTGAAAGTTTGTGTAGTCTTTGCTGTTTGTGTTTTCGACAATGTCAACAATTTTCCAGTTTATGTCGAAACTTTCACACATTGAAAAAAAACTGTCATCAGACAAGCAGTTCGATGGTTGGTTCGACTGTTAGGTGTAAATGTTGGGTATCTTCACATCAACTAATTTTACCGGTTTTGATCAACCAAGGCAGGAGACCACTTTAAATCAGTGTGAGCAAGTTTCTGTGATTCGTGTTAGAGAAATAAAAGTAAAATACAGAGCCCATAATGTACATACTCCCAGAACAATGAGAACAGGCAAATTTATATACCTCGTTCAAATTAAAAATTCTTGTTTTAAATATTGTCAATGCAAAATATTCATTGCAGGTTATAAACGAAAACATAGAATCAATTAATTCAGTGACATAGCTGTGTTCAGCACATGCCTCTAGTATGGGCTAAAATTGACAGCTAGGTTCAGATGTTTTTACGCAGTTAGTACGTACAGAGAAATGATCAAATTTTCAATCTTTTCATCTTTGATTTCCTAGCACAGTAACCAGGGTGGTATTACTTTCAACTCTATGGATAAAACGATGACCATAAAACTGCAGAATAGTACACAATCAGTCGATTTGTTTTCTCGTCTCTGGATGTGCTGACATTGATTGTCACATCTTGATGAGCAGTACCATAATATGAATAGTAAATCTTCCAAATGAACAATGAATACAACATTTTTGGCATTTGGGCCAAGCTAACCATTTACTCAATTTGTTTGTCTGTTCCAAGGTTTTAGGGTTTAGGCCTGGCCTTAAAACTAGTTAGATTTAGTTCGTACTTACCTCTTAATAGCCCGTACTAAGTGTTCGCACAAGTTTTCTTACCCGTGTGTTAATGAAACCATTATAAAACACAAAGACACTATGTACCAGATTACATAAATAAGAGTGGAAATAATAAGGTATATTCTGTATATGTGATTTTATTACACCATGAAATAATACGTACAATACTGAATAAAAATAAAACATACAAATATAAACTGAGTAATAAACGTATACCTCTTAACATAACTGCACTAAATGGTTACAAGCAAGTTACTATTTATACATCTTTCTATCACTGATTACTGCGATTCAAGAACAGAGCCTACAAGATAGACATATCCAAGGGTTTCAAAAATTCAGAGCAGGCAGTCAAGATAAATGTTACAAACATCAGTCCCCATTTAGTGACAACCACGCAAATAGAAACCAAACTATTTACCACATACTACATGCAGACAAAGCGTGAAAACAAAATCAGCAAATTCAAAAATTTCATGGTTTATGTATTTCAATAAAAGATAGATTAGAGTGACATATTGGAAATGATTAGACTAGCAAATCTAGAAAGCATCAAGCAAATATTTCAGATCCTTTCATCAAAATCACCGGCCATTGTTACTGAATGAATAACTAGATCATAATACACAGGAAAGACTGGCACAACAAAACATGTATACAATGTCATCGCGACAGGCTTCAACATAAAAGTATGATACATATATAATTCATATATTGCAATTATAGGGTATACTGTTTAAAGGAAGATTGTTTGGTATAGCACCAATCCAAGGCATGATTAATCTTTTACTCTACACATGGATTTCAACATGGCTCTCAATACAAGTAATCACAATCAAATACCCTTTGAAATTTTTCTCCCAACACATTTTCTAGAAACTCTTGTCTTACTTTTAGACCTAATAGACAAAATTCACTAGTCGATGCAGGTTTTCAACATATTGGGAAAAACGGTGACAATATTAGGCTGGTTTATTCTGTTAAAGGTGACAAAATTTAACTGTTTTATCTACCTGCTGAGATACTGTGAGTTGCAATGGCATCTTCTCATTGGTCCATCAGCATTCCATGAATGAAGCCTCTGGTATTATTGGAAATTACTTTCTTAAAAACATTTTCATATTGTAGTAGGTCATGAAAATATTCTACCAGTGCCAGTTATATGTTTACTCCAACAGTAGGTACTTTTCTTATGCAAATTCATGCAAAAGCTTGCAATACCCTGAATTGAACCTGAAAAACTTGTTCTATTTTTTTGAGCGATAACACAACAGTTGAGCCACCATAACTAGCTGCTGCCGTCAATGTTCAGTCACACAATTTTATTTGTCCTAAGCCAATGCATAGTAAAATGTTCAAACAGAAAGGCATCCATATTACTCTTAAAGATATCTGTACAGATTTTCACAGACAACCAAAATCTAATGTTTTCACCATATTTGCTCCATTAGCAGTTACAAATAAAAAAAAAAATAAGTCTTATTTTAATTGATCAAGGATACACAATTTTTCCGTTTATGTGCACTTTTCTTGAAGATGTGCTGCTAATGGAACAAAGACCGTACCAGATGTATAAACATTTTTATTATTATTAAGACGTGCATGTCTAGGTTTGGAAGTCTAAGGATGTGTGACAAGCCTGCATAATTTGCCAATTATTCATCGATTAATATTAGTTACAGATTGAGTGATAACATAAATGAGAATTGAGAAATCCTAGTCTATGTTATGATCTATATACAGTAAATGTAATCATGCAGTAGTGAATACAAATACAAATCAGTTATGAAGAATCAAATCAAATGATTGTTGAATCGCTGTCGCAACATCCACCGCTCTCGATTTTAATGATAACTGCAATAAAGAAAAAAAGAGAAAAGAAACAGTGAAATAAACAAGTCTAAATGCATAATATGTTTTTGTTTATTGGCTCTGTAGACATCAGCATGTACATTATATATATTTATATTTGAAAAGATTCATTTTTCTTTAATAACTTAGAAATTTCAATTTATTGGTGTGTATTTGGTGTATCATCTTTGCTGATAATATCTTGGTGAAGTTCTTAATCTTGCATCATTATTATAATTAATGCCATGTACATTTTTGGACTTTGAGCGAACCACTTCTTAAACACTATCAAATTATCTTGAATAAGACAATATGTGACTTTAAACAAAAACTCATTCATTACAGATGAATAAAGTCATTTGCATTTAACCCAAATTGACAACATTTTTCTTTGAAATCTACTACATGCATGTTCATCAGCTACTTGTGTATAATCCCATGATATTTTCTCTTATGTTGGTGTAGTAGATACATGTACAAGTGTAATATAAGTGGAACTATTGATGAAATAACACTGAAGTGTTCTCTACCATGGTCCACCAATCAAGTGTTAGTCGCCTAGTGACTCTCAGTACCTGTCAATACTCAAATTTGGATGAAATGGCTTTTAAAGAGCTGGCATTTCCGAAGACAACATGGATGGCACACAGTTCGTGTTAGTTATCAAATCTAAGTTATATAGTTTTGTTTATAGTAATTTAGTACGAGTACTTGTCCATATTGAGAGCTATTGCTCTGGAACAGCATTAATTAAAACAAAATGGCCGCCAAACATGCCAAGTATATGTATACGCCAAGTTTGAATGAAATCCAACAACCAAGATCCAGCTCCAGAATGCCAAGAATGGCCACTATTCGGCCATTTTGAATCAGATCACCAAAACAACATATCTGTAAATCTATGAGAGGATGTATAATGAACATTTAAAATTTGAACATAATCAGACAAAGCATGTCAGAGATATGGGATTAGAACCACATTCATTAAAACAAAATGGCTGCCAGTCGGCCATTTTGAATCGGACCTGAAAAACAAAATGGCCACAATTCAGTAAAAAAATGGCCACAATTCAGCCATATCGAATCAGATTGTGAAACAAATTGATGTGCATATGTATAATATGAGGTTATTATGAGGATACCTCAAAGTATGCATGAAGACAGTACAGCGGAAGTATCAACCGACGCACAGTGGAGGATGATGTGGCGGCTTACTGTCTGAGTGCATACTTTGAGGTATCCTCGTAATAACCTTATTATTATACATCTTTTCCTTCCAAGGATACATCATGGGAATGCCAAATCGAAAAGGTTTAGAACAGAATCAGCGAACTTCTTTGTGTCGTGGAGTCCGGTTTCATTATTAGAGGATGAAAATACCCCGTGAAATACCGCATGAAAATACGGCACACTGTAACTTATGGCATTACGGTCACAGATGTATAATAATACTATGTATGATGTAAGTACTCCGATGTTAATGGTAACAGTCATGGTGTATGCAAGATCTTTTTGAAAATCAGAATACATTCAATGACATGGAACAGACACACAAGTACTTACTGTGATTGATGTGTTTCCAGGCATAATTTTTAATTCCGTCAATACCCAGATTCCGTTTGTTAATTTTAAAGACTGGTACAACATATCTTGCCCTTCCACATTCCGTCTTGCTATCGTGAATATATTATTGGCCTGTAATTTTTGAGAAATGGTATCTGGAGAAAAAGATGAACACAATAGTCAGTTGTAAAGAGATGTTGCATTGTAACACTAAAACAAATAAATGTTCCAAAAAAAAGCTTTATGCAAACAAGGTATTTAAATATGCAACAACATCCCAGGCTCACTATATTGCGATTACACTGAATCTTTACTTGTTGTAGCATGCTATAACATTGGAAACTGCTCAACTCATCAAATTATACACAAACTAAGACAATTTTATTTTTAAATTATTATAATTCACTAAATCAAGCAATACATTTTTTGAAAAGAAAAATCGAGCAATGAATGTTTAAACTGAAACACTGCTCGATTTGTTTCCCGGCTAGTTTTACTATACTACTTGGTAGGTAGAAGTAGAATACAATAACGCATGATATACTCACCAGTGTTATATGTTACATTGGATATTTGATACTGGATTTCATTTGATGGTGAAATATCTTTCCATGTTGCAAGGTAAATTTTTTTATCTGAAAACAAAAACATTTTTTCAAATACAGTGAAACCGTTCTAAAGTGACTGCTAAAGAGACTGAGAAAACTCTTAGAAAGAAGAATACAGGTTTAGAATTTACACAGGTTTGTTCCAGACAGGTGTTAAATGCGAGATTCACTCGTAAACACAGTAGAGGTGACTGTGGAAGCAAGCAGTTCGTGAGAATGATTGCTTTGCTATCTTCAAGTTGTGAAATCTGTGGATGATATTCGCTCACATTCGATCAGGTTCAAACTGCATGCATTGGATCGTAGAGTTACAATAAAGGAAGCGTAATGTACATTTAAACAATACATGTACACTGTTTATTATGGAAATGTTACAACAAAGAAAGTACAATGTAACAAGAAGGCAACAGATGAATACACGATAGAATGCCCCTTTTATAGGGTTCAGTAGGATTCACACCTATGGATTTAAAATAGGAGGGAGACACAGTGATAGGTTTTCAATATTGATACATCAGCTTAAAATCGACCTTGCAACTGATTCCTATTGCGTTCGTCTATTGATTATTATTCAATGGCTTATGTAACTCGAATCTGCGTTAATTTATATTAGTGCAAAATCTTGACATGTAATAACTTCTACTGGCTATATCTCAGCTAATACTGCTTGTAATTGAACAAAATAAAGACGAATAGATAAAGCAAAACATGATCTAATAATACAACTAAATTTCGAGCAAGAATGAATAAATCTGAATAAACAAAAACAAATAGAATCAATGAGGAAAAACACAAGTGGATAAGCATCCACGACAAATTCTTGAACACTTGCGATCGAAGGATAATGAAGACAATGAGAATGATAGCTGAATGTTGCACAGAGTACAATGTAACAGAAAACAATGAAATCTTGCATACATATTTACTTTATTAGAATCAAATCTAATTATGAAAGGTACATTTCAACTGAACTGCCTCTTTGGAATATAACCAATTTTACTATTGAACATTTCAAAAATCACTTACCCATGACACCATCTTCAACAAATAAAGTATGTATTGGCATTATACAACTAAAATAGAAGACATCAATGTTGTTTTTAATTGCCACTTGTAGATTGGTTAAAGGATCCATTCGTTGAATTGGTCCAACCGGACTCAATGGCAATGATGTATCAAACGACTGATTGGGATTCAACGCTACCACATTGAGTTGTGCTCCAGGTATGATACCAAAGCTGAGAAGAAAACAGAAATAATAATTAACTAATTAGACAATTTAAGATGAGTTGGCATAATATAAAGTTCTGAATAAACTGTTGACTATGACCATTAAACTGTTCATTGAGGAGATAGACAAAACCTTCTAACTCACTGATACGAGATGAATGAAAAACACTACTGTAACCCAAGACTCACCTGTTTTTATTGAGCTGAATGGCAAAACCTGATAATTGTGTCAAAGCTCTATTTGTAAATGTCATATCCATGAAAATTTGATTTTGACGACGAGAGAAAGTACCAGCAATTTCTAAACCTTTTGCTTTGGCAGCGAGCAACCAGACCTACAAATATAAAAAATGTTAATATAAACAGCATAATTAATAAATCTTGACAAATTTATGACACGAGTCTGTTAAGTTCTTGTCTATATACAAGTTGCGTGCATCTGTAGTGGTTTTAATTATTTTCACAAACGACTACAAATTACCATATGTAAACTAAATGCTAATTGTATGTAAATTATATGCACATTTAAAAAAAAAAAACTGCATGGACCTCAGTCTGTGAAGAATACTGTAACCATTTTTATTATTTTAGTGTTTTGATGACTTAACTGAAAACGATATATAAAGTCTCATTTGATAAAATCTTGATTGATGTGCATTTATCGCACAAAAGACATTAAAATCTAATTAGTGTCAGTAAATCCAAATATATACAATATTAAAATATTGCAATATCAAACTTTTCCATTGATCCCAGTGATTAATTATAGTAACATGTGAAACTAACAGAGTAGTTAATATTGATACTTGTGTGTTTTACCTTATTGGATTCTCATCAAATTATGTATAAATTTGGGTCAATGGCTCATAGTATCTGAATAAATTATTATGTATTATGTTCTGACATATTATAATGAAGTGTAATCCCAAACTCACCTGTTTTGGAGGGACGTAACATCCGCCGCCAAGTCCAGGTGTACCGGCTAAATCAAAGATATCACCAAGACCACCAAGTCCTGATCCTGTTCCCATTGGAGGTTGGGCTGCTGGAGGGGGTGTGGGGGCACCCACTGGACCACCAAGCTATGTATAAAAGAAAAAGACATTTATTTTTAACATCTAGGACACCAATATTTAAAGTTAGTATTTAGTAGAAATAATGCTGACTTACCAGACTGTCCAAACCACCACCCAGCAAGTCCATTGCACCAGTATCCGGTTGCTGTGGAGGAGGGGCAGTTTGTGTTGTTGGCCCTAAATCCATACTTAACAAATCCCCAATAAGATCACCTTGTGAGGGGATAATTGTGGGCTGTGGTTGTTGTACAGCTGCTGGTGCTGACGGTGCTGCGGCCGGTGTGGCTGCTGCATCACTCAGCTGAGAACCAGCTCTGGAGGGAAAAACAGACACAAATACACATGTCAATATGTCTGACAAATGGAACACAATTTTAAAACTGGTACAAGTTACAGCCTTGAATTCAATTGAGTACAGAAGAAACATAAAAAAGAAGATGGAAAATCCAAATGGCATCTTTTTTACAAGCTCTAGTTGAATGTCTACATCTCCCAAAGGTTCCAGTTTTTCATTAGGTCACTGAATGAGTTTATTGAATATGTTGATGAGATCATGAGCCCAATATCTTCAATAAAGCACTGGTTGAATGTCTATCTGCAATAGCACTTCAGATATAATAGATTCACATTTCCAATGACGTAATCAAGATGGTGGTTTTCAAGAAATCGGAAATTGCATTTTTAAACTAAACCTAGAAAACTAACCCTACCTCAAAAAAACAAATCAATTGGACTGGTGCTTTTCAAGAAGTCAAATATAAATGTTGTTGAGGGAAAATTAAAAAAAAAAACAGCTATGCTCTGTCATATTGTATAATATTAGTTATAAAACAGGTAATTTAAAAAAAAAAAAAAATTAAAAATAATTTATTTCAGATATTTAACATTAATTTTTGTTATTTTCGTAGTGATACTAGTGAAGTGATACTTACGACTGTGATCTACTTGGTAGTGCTACTTTGGTCATTCCACCACGCCCTTCAACAAATGCACTAGGTGGTTTATGATATACTGATGCCAGACTAGCAATATGACATATCAATTCATCTAACAGTGTTGGTTCAATTAAATCAGTCTCTTCAGATATCAATGGTTTCTCTGCTAGTACAACTTCTTTAGCTGCAGCAGGGTCAGTTGAAAGTAATCGCCAATAAATATAACCTCTATCACGAAGATCAGGGTTGTCACTGTCCTGTAAAATAATGTATAGACCATGGTAATTTATGACATCTGGTTGCACATATCTAAGAAATCAGGATGCCTTCTGTCACAACCTTGGTTTCAGCCAGTAATTTCAGACAGGCACTCCAAAGACTTTGGATTTGATAGGCTAAATTTCAACAAACCTGTCAATTTTTTATTGAAAATTGCAGTTTTTACAAAATAGCTACAAATAATCAGCAAAATTAAGACTACTTAAGTGGCAACAGACAGCAGCTATTATCTTGCATTTCAAAATTGATTTTACATTCATACATCACTAAAATAAATCCATGTGATCAGTGATCAAGCAATATTAGTTTTATACTATCACAAAGAGGAGTAATTATTCACTGGATTTTAATTTTGCTTATTTCGCTGACAGAAAAATGCGCTAAATTAAAACCCAGTGAATATGTAAAATTGGGCATAGAACACATTACACTGTAACCTCAATATAATGAACACCTTTATAATGAATTTCCTGATATAATAAACACATAACATGTCTCCCGCTCACAACAAACCCAATGAATTATGTGCTTCATTATAGTGAACATTTCACTATAACAAACTAATTGTATGTCCCCCAAAGAGTTCGTTATAATGAGGCTACAGTGTATCTAAATAATAAAACCGTGAATTAAAAGCTATTGAATATGCCCGAAATGCTGAATCAGTGAAATTTAAACCCAGTAAAAAATTAGTCATTTTACAGTATCATGGATAGTACATACCTGGGTAGCCAGACTAAGCACCTGTTGTACCAGCTCTTGTGTATCAGTTGGTCTTTTCAGGAAAAGCTTAACAATGGCTGTGAGCAGCTGTAATTGCACTTGTGTATTCTCATCATGGAAACCTTCCAGGAAACTTTCAAGAAGTTCATCTGCATTGTCAATTCTCTCAGCATACTCACCAATGATCCAAACCATTGAAGCTCTGGGGAGGAAACAAGTTAAAGCCTCATGGTTAGTGAGCAAATTAGGTGTTATCAGCTGCAAAAATGTCCTCATTGCAAACTAGTCAACTCCTCTCATATTAATACAACGAGAACAATTTTCATGCAATTTTATGTGGTTTTCCCATGGTAAATGCAGCACACGTACAACTTGTATCAAGATTCAATCCCAAAGCAAATAGATTGTACAAACAATTCCACATTCACCCTAGGTCGACCAACCAACCAAAATTTATACTAGTAGAGATTATTAAATATACAAAACAAGTATTGCAATAATGCAATTTCAATACAATACTAAGTATGAAGGCAATTATTATTCAACTGTAATGGTCCCAATACCCAGCACGGCAACACCTATAAAGGAAGGCTGTAATGGTCCCAATACCCAGCACGGCAACACCTATAAAGGAAGGCTGTAATGGTCCCAATACCCAGCACGGCAACACCTATAAAGGAAGGCTGTAATGGTCCCAATACCTAGCACGGCAACACCTATAAAGGAAGGCTGTAATGGTCCCAATACCCAGCACGGCAACACCTATAAAGGAAGGCTGTAATGGTCCCAATACCCAGCACGGCAACACCTATAAAGGAAGGCTGTAATGGTAGGTACTCACCTTGCTTCAGGTTCATCCAATGTGTCTAAATTCTCACATAATATTGAGATAATACTCTCATATTTGTTGGGGTATTTACGGAAGATATCTTTGATTACTACAATGGCTTCTTGTACAACATAGTTGACTTTGGTCTGGATAAGGTCTAATAGGGTACTAACACATCTCTCGGCAGATTGCTGAAATCAACAATGGGCGATACATACAGTTATGGTAACCAATCAGATGTCACATTGTCTGCTGAAAGCCTCCACAAAAGCAGCTTCAGTACATAATGTGATAAAACACTACAATTACAATTAGTTTATTGTATTTTGTATACATATCTAAATTTATTGTGTAAACATTTTCATTAATGTTTCACTGTTTCTTAGTTTATATCAAAGTCTTCTGTCGTAAATTACAGCAAATTGCTTGTTCAGTAACTTTTTAGTTTAGTTTCAGTAGCATTTTACAAGTTTGAAAGTGGTACATATTATTCCAGTTTAATAACTATTAAGTGAGGCAACAATCATGTTTTCTAGGGCTCAGCATTGTACGTTAGTACTATATATTCACTCTTATACATTATCTAATCTCATCACCATAGACGTACCTCAACTTTGATGGCACACCTGCCAATAGCTCTGACAGATTTCCTGACAAAGTCCACATCTACCTCGGTAGCATACTCCTTTAATTCAGCCAGTACTTGTGCAATATTAGCCTGGGTTGCAAGACGTATCATAATGTCAAGCTTCTCTAATTTCACATAGATTGGATCATTGTATTTGACAAAGAATACCTTCATTTCGTGTTTCAGAATATCTGGTCTAGAAAACAAATCATAATATTAGTGAAACAATGTACTTCAAAGTGATGTTTTCTATCAACTAACACATTTCTCACATTGTATGCACAAAGAAAGTACAATAGATTATCCAGTGTGTAGCATGTAAATTGATATGCCTTTGTATTATCCAAATTGATAATTTGTGGTACGTCCTAATAACGTTATTAAACCTCGTTTCAAAGCACAATGAAGCCTTGAAATGTACACAGTTGTACATTTCTAGTAGGATTAGATGCAGATATACAGAGCCGATTGAAAAGCAGTTACCTTTTCTGTACAATTAGATTGATATTTCGTAAAGCTACGTATTGTATTTCAGGTTCAGCTGACAGCAGTGTTACCAATGGAGGCGACAACTTTTTAGTCAATGTATTTATGTAATCACTGTTTGGTTCAAGCATCTCCATAAACTTCATTAACACCTGAGAAATCATGTAATAAATGATATGTATAAGTAACCTGTGTAAAATCCAACACAGATATACAACAAGGAGAGATTTATGAGGTCATTTACTTTACACATCCATGTGGTGTGGTATCCAATATGCTCTATAATTAAGAAAGCTCGAACATTTTATTTACTTTTTTAAAAAATCCTGACAATCAGTGAAATACTAGAATAGATAACAAAACATAACAATACTCGACACAAACTAGCAGCTAGAACTGTCTGTGTGTAGCACACAACTACATGTATGTTGACTGGGAATTTATGGTTCTTCTCAACACAAATTACTTCATCTCTGGTTTTAAGGTAATCATATATGAATGACTGAGCGATGGTATAATAAAATATAAAAACTTACTTTAACAGCAGAGAGAACAACAGCAGCATTAGCATGGGCCAAACGTGGTGTTACTCTCTCACAAATACTCTGCCCTTCTCTCTCATCTTTTGGTGTGTAATTTGCTAGAGAATCCAAGATGAATATCTGACCCCATCTAAACATAGATAACACACATTAAAGTTAACAATTTCAACATTCTGATTCTCCAGACATGCCAAATTGGTACATACTGTTCAGCATGGATAAAGCAAATTTGCTCTATTAGCAACACACTTTCAATCAAAGTGATTTCATTGCCAAGCAGCCCACCTAAATATACCACCTATTCATTTTTGACAGGACATTTATGTAATTAAATGTACTTATAATATCCAGAATTGTTTCATATAGACTTTATCATACATTTCAAGATTTATGTTCAACCAGAAGGGCACTCCTCATAAAAGTTAATATTAACCCTACCTTAGGGAGTGGCAATGTCAATAATGATTTACCTAAGGTGTTTGATGATGTCATTACTTACTCAGTGCATTCATTCAAAGCAGTTAGTAGTTTGTTGATGGTTTGTGTATTCATGTCAATCAAAGCAGCAGCTGTAGGAGATGATTCATGTATTTCTGCTAAAGCAGCCACTGCATTAGCAACAACCTGTAACACATAAATAGATACAAATGGATACACAGGAAATCAACTTTCTTATCAACATTCTTGTGTATTCAAACTGAATTTCAATTATCATCTAGCCATGTCATGGAATTAAATTTAAAATCGTCACATTATTCCATATTTTAGTAGCTGTTTTAAGACCATACTTCTGGCTGTGTGAAGCAAGTCTACACTATAGTTTGTAGTGTTTTTGAAGAAGTTTATGTAGAATACAAATGTGCAATACCAAAACTAATTTTCTCATACATGTCACTGGATATGAAATGATTTTAGCTTGTATATGCTGACACTCACCATAGGGTTAGAATCCGAGAGTAAATCTCGAAGATGGTCAAGAAAACCCTGATCTTCCACTAATTGTGAATTAATATCATGTAGTTTGGCTACGCATACGGCAGCAGTCTTTCTGACGTATGGGTCTTCATCCTTCAGACATTTCCTCAGTGGTTCACAGAGATACTCTGTGATTTTATCCACTCTAATACATCCCATAGTTCTCACAGCTAAGGCTCTGATCAGAGGGTTAGCATCTTCACAGTCCTAAAATAAAATACAGCTTGGTAAGTAAATATTGAGATATGATGATAGTAATTAGCCTACTCAGCGTCTTCTCACCTTTGATAAATGATAATTAAAGCTTATAGGTCTCCACTCTCACTTGTACATAGCACAAATAAAGGTGGTCTAAAGAGGGCACTAGTTAATTGTATTTTGGATTTTAGGGCCAATTAGTTTACGATTGTTTTGGAGAATAAAACTTGACATTTAAACAGAGCAAATCCAAGTAACCTAGTCTGTCATATTTATAAGCATGACCAGTGTAATTCCAGAGAAATAATTTTAACTTCACTTTTCAAGTATTCAATGGTATACTTACCCTGACAAATGTATTGACTGCCATAATAGCCATATCTGGTTGAGTCTTGGCATAATTCATCAAATATAAATATACTAACTTCTTAAGTTCTAAATTATCAGTCTGCATACAATTAACAACATCTGGAAACAGTGCACTGTGAAAATAATTATACAAGTTTCAAATTATTTTTGTTTCAAGGCTAAAAAGTCACTAGCGGACCATGTGATATCAACACTGATGTTACCATTCATGAAATTATAGAGCATGAGCTGAATTCTAAATCCACTGCTAAAGATACATTTTGCAGTGATAATTAAGTAATTTCATGCTGATTTTCATAAAAAATGTCAACTGACTTGCAGTAAATTTTAGTATTGGCATTTGTGAACTTCCAAAACGATTTCATGTTGACAAAACTATATGTTGAACTTCCTATCATGGAACATGACCTGGTTGAGTATGCTACTTCAGCACTTCAACGAAGAAGGACATGATTTTGGCACATGTCAACCGGGTCTCCTTCCTGGTGGTGCAGGAAGGAAAGTGCAGCTCAAGTAAGTTCCTGTTGAGTTCTAAAAGGGAAGCCACAAATAAGGTAATGGTGGTGCAGGCAGTGTTCTCCCCAGAAAAATGTATCAGAGTGGCGGCTAATTTGCATATAATTTACATATCATTAGCATTTGTCTGAAGATAAAGAAAACAATAATGACAGGCTTGCATGGATGAAAATGTGTCTTTATTTTTTAACAAATTTATGTAGAAGATTAAATGAATCTGCTGCTGTGTGATTTCTATGTAATGTTGATTCTTCTGACTTTCATGGAAGCCCAGTGTGATCTGCAGCTTTTGAGAACGCCGTGATTTTCTTTGCTTCCCACTTCTATTAAATGACATGGCCTTCTTGTGCATCTCCGAGTGTGCGTGTTTATCGGAAGCATATTTCGTAATAGTTATACATGGCATAGAGTTCCATACCAAAGAACTATTTCTGGATGTTTTTAAGTTGAATTTTCCACATATGTGTCACAGCATTCCTAAAAGATAAGAAATAGGAGCAAATCAATACTTGTATTTAAAAAATATCGTCACGATCAACACGAAAATAAACAAATTGCCGCCATTTTGAAAAGTCGTT